GCGGAGGAGTCGCCGGGCCCGGGCTCGAGCGGCATTGGCTCCGGCAGCGGCAGCAGCAGCGGCAGCACCAGCTTCCACCTGGCGCAGCGGGCCTCGGCCTCGGGCGGCGTCGGCATCGAGGACATCGACCTGGAGGGCAGGTTTGTGCAGCTGAAGAACAGCTCGGACAAGGTGAGGGCCTGCACCGCGGGGCGCGGGGCGGGGGGCGGCCTCCCCGAGCTGTGCGTCAGGCGCCGTGTCCCCTGTGCCAGGACCAGTCCCTGGGGAACTGGAGAATCAAGAGGCAGGTCATGGAAGGGGAGGAGATCGCCTACAAGTTCACGCCCAAGTACGTGCTGCGCGCCGGCCAGACCGTCACGGTAGGTGGCCGTGGAAGGCGGGCGGTGGGAGAGTGGCCGCGGGCGACCGATGTGAGTGGTGGCTGGGGTGTGGGGCGTTCTTGAGAAGCAGGCAATGGCTTGAGGGAGCGGGGGGGCAGTGGTCGAGTGACTTGGCTCTGAGAAGAGCAGAGTCCTGTCGCAGGTCACCTGTGTGCCCTTGGATCCTCCCTGGAGCTCTCTGGAGCCCCGTGGTGACCCGTCAGCATCGAAGTCACAGGCGCCGACCCCGGGGTCTGATGGGCTTCTGGTCTCCGCTCAGCCTGCGTTTGGTGACATGAGCCCTTGGCCATCAGACCTCAGTGTCTTCTTTACCCTGGCAACTGTCCTCCATCCACGGGACCCAGGGGGCAGGGGCCGGGCACTGGCTGGTGGCACGTGGTACTGGGCCTGGAGCCAGCATTGATGGGGAGGCCCTCCTGTGTCCCCAGGTGTGGGCTGCTGGTGCGGGAGTGGCCCACAGCCCCCCCTCGACACTCGTGTGGAAGAACCAGAACAGCTGGGGTGTGGGCGAGAGCTTCCGGACCGTCCTGGTCAACGCCGACGGGGAGGTAAGTGCCCGAGGCCTGCTGGGGGCCACCTCCATCCTGGCCCCGGAGTCCCTCCTGGGGTCCTCATCTCACCCTTACCACCCCACAGGCCCAGGGAGCACAAACCTGGGTTCGGAATGTGGCTCTCGGTGTGCCAAGTCTCGGCTGGAGCACCCTGGCCTGACCACCACCGTGACGGGCTGCGCCCCGCTACCCGAGGGGTCAAGTGTGGCCTTTCTCCTGCGCAGGAAGTGGCCATGAGAACCGTGAAGCAGTCCTCGGTGGTGCGGGAGACGGAGAACGGGGAGGAGGGAGAAGAGGAGGCAGCGGAGTTTGGCGAGGAGGATCTTTTCCATCAACAGGTAGAGGCCCCCAGGTGGCACATGGGGACGCACACTCGGACATGCACACCCACGCGCGGATGCGCATGTGTACGCCCACCGGCAGGTCCCGGGCCGGTGCTGCTCCTGCTGCAGCGTCTGGGCAAAGCTGGCGGTAGCTGGTTCTTGGCACCGCCCAGGCCTTGCCCCCACTGGAGGGCCGCACGCCCACCGCCCCCCCAACCCCTGCCAGAGGCGGCCTGTGGGGGGAATACCCTTGCCTCCTGGCTCTTGCCCCTTGTGTGGACCTCAGGGTTCTGGCCCGGGGGTCCCTAGGAGTGGGGTATTGAACCCCAAGCACCTCCGGGTGGCACCGGTGTAGCCTCGAGGGTCCTCAGTGAACGGGCTCTGAGGCCACTGCTCCTTCCCGCCAGAGATACCGGGGCTTCAGTAATGGTGTTCGGGTGAAGGGTCCCTGAGGCTCTGGGGCTGAGCTGCAGCCCCTCTGCGTGGTAAGACTCGTGTCTGACCATTAAGTCCTGACGGGCTGTGTAGCTGGGAACAGAAGCAAGGGAGACATCGAAGGTTCTGGATCAGGGACAGCTGAGGCTGAAGCTGCCGGCCCCGTCGACTTGCTGGGTGGGGAGGGGGCGCAGGCCGTGGTGCGGCCCCTCCCTGGCAGGGGTGGGGGGACCTGCCTAGCCAGGTGGGCATGTGCAGGCCTCTGAGGTTGCCGGCCTTTCTTTCCAGGGGGACCCAAGGACCACCTCAAGAGGCTGCCGTGTGATGTGAACGGAACACGCCTCATGGATGACCTGTCTTTACCCAGAGCCACCGAAAACTATTTTTATATCATTGGCTGTCTTTAGTCCTTGATACATTTCTAGAGAATTTTTAAGCATACTGCCAGAACATGGGGGCGGGTCTCTGTGATCTTTCCTATCGGTGGGCTTCCTCGGACCCTTCCTTCATCACCACTGGCCAGACTTCTTTTTGGTGCCCCATTTCACCATTTGGTTGAATTCGAGGCCGAAGAACCTAATGGCTGACAGGGGTTGGGCGTGGAGGCTGGAAGGCCGGGCCAGGCTCAGGGGCGGCTGCCAGGGCTGGGGCTCTTGTCTCCGGGAGCCGCCCTGTGAGCCTCGAGCGGATGGAGAGCAGGACTGCCTAGGAGTTCAGTCGTTTTATGAAGCTCTTAAAAACCAAATCCAGAATCCAGGTTCTGACCTGGGGCGGGGGTAGGCGCATCCCCTGTGGAATTTTGGTGGCCCGGCCGCAGGTGCTGAGGGGCCGGGGTGCAGGTTTTGGCTGCCCGGCCTGGGCTCTGGGGCTCTGGTGTGATTGTGGTAGGGGTGGTGTGCGGCCGCAGGCCAGGTTTCTACGCACATATCGAGGCACTCCGCAGTGGGCCTCCTTTTCCCTTCCTGGCTGTCTGGCCCTCGAGTTTCTGGAGCTTTCTTAGTCCGGTTCCTAAGCTTGCAGGACCAACGGGGCAGGAGAGAGAGATGGAAACCCAGGGAACAGGGACAGCTCCGTTTGGAGACTTGTCACCAGGTAAATGGCCAGGGGACAAGTGGAAAGGGAAATGGGGTCACCTTGGAAGCAAGTGCCCCTGGTTTCAGAGCCACTGTCCACAGGGAGCAGCCACTTCCTGCCCTCTGTGAGGAGAGCAACTTGAGGGTGAGCCACTGGACCGCCCACACCGCGTTTTCCCACTCTGTGCCTTGTGCATGGGGCTGAGTCCCAACGCCCGCCGTCCCCTGTATGTTCTTGTGCGTGCCCCGCTAGCTTAGCTTCTGTGGTGACCTCCTCGCTGAAATGCTGTTTCTCAGACATGTCGGTGCTGGCTGATTCCACAGGATGGCTCCATGGCCGCCAGGCCAGCTTCTGGCCACCCGGCCACTTCCACGTTCGCTTCCCATTTGTACCCCCTCCCACATAGATACACAGAAGTTATTTTTTTAATGGATATTTATTTTTTTACATTGGTCCGTACTCAGATTGCCGGATTCCACTTGAGGCCTCATGCCAGCGTCACTGGGACAGCCCCCCAAGGGGCTGGAGTTGAGGGAGGCTATCTCGGTGACCTCTGAGGCCCCAGACGGCAAATTCCTTCAGAAAGTGCAGCTCGAGTCTTCAAGACGTCATACTGAGCCATGGAGGCACGCTGCCCCCAGAAGGCAGCCCGTTTACAAAGCAGCCAGCCCTTCCCAGCTCGCCCTAGGCCGGGAGCAGCACGCCTGCCTCCCACCTCGGGCGGTCCCCCCACTCCCGTCTCACTTCCCTTGGAAACTGCTTGTGGCCAGAGGGTCGGAGGCTTCTGCTGCATCGAGAATTTGCCCGCAGCCCCTTGCTTTAGGTCTAGTTCTTTCCATGGCCACCCGAGTCCCCGGGCCGTGCGCTCGGTTCTTCTCGTGGACGGAAATGTCTCACCACTCCTCCCAGCGTTTCTGGTGGGCCCTGGGGAGCTCGCCCCGCACATGACCTTTCCCATGAGGGCCCCCGTTTGTGCATCCCCCCACCCCGCGCCCACACCTCGGGGACCACGCGCACAGTGCGGGCCTGGAGTGCAGAGGCTTGTGGCATTGGGAGGGTGGGGCTGGGGTCCTCCCGAGTGTGCCCTGGCCTTGGCCACATCCTGCGAGGTGTCTTGGGGGTCTCATGGGCAGGGAGTGGGCCCCCCTCGTGTCCGGCAGGTGGTTTCTGTGGTCTTCAAGCCGGTTCCGCCCCTTCCGCCTGCCCCGTGGCGGCCCTGGCCCGGGGGAGGGGTGCCCGCAGGTGGGGGACGGGCATTGGCAGGGAAGTGCTGGGAGATCCAGAGTGGAATCCAATGTTACAACGTCAGCGTCGGCCTGGGAAACAGTTCGTAGTTGTCATTCTTAGCTTTAAGCCGCTTTAAAGGACGCGAGACGGTTCCCTCTACCCGGCCAGCGGCAGCTCGGCGACCCCCGGGTGCGGTCTGACCCCGCGGCCCTAGGGCGCGCCCCCGCCAGAACACCAGCACGACCTGCCGGGGGGCCGCCCCGAGCGAGCGCCGGGCGGGGGAGCCGGGGGCGGCGTCCACGAACTTGCATGCCAAACGTGTGGTCTTTTTCTTTCTCCAGTGATTTGTAATATGCATTTTATGACTGGAAACTTTTTGTACAACACTCCAATAAACATTTTGGTTTTAAGTGCTGCCCCCGAGTCCGCTCTGACACAGCTTCCCCGGCCCGGCAAGAGGGGGGCGTCGGAGACCCCCGCCGGTTTGCCCGGGCCTCCCGTGCCGGCCTGCGCCTTCGGTCACGTGACGCGCCTGCCGCGGGCGGGGGGGCCCTCGTGCGCATGCGCGGCCCGCACGGCGAGCCGGGAACGTCCTCTCAGCAGCCCCCGTACCTCCCACCCCCCGGCACCATGTCGGAGACACCCGCGGCCGGCGCGGAAGCCGGTTGTAGACCGCGCTTGCGCGGAAAGTGGGGGGGGGGGAAGAGGGGAGGGGCGCACGGCCTTGTGGTAGTTGTAGTCCGACCCGGCTCCGCTCCCAGCACTCTCGGACTTCATTTCCCGTGGTGTCCTGGGCGGCCGACTTCCGGCGTGGGTACGGGTTGGCGCACGCGGTCTCGGTTCGGTTGGCTTTGCGGAGCCATGGAGGGTGGCTTCGGCTCGGATTTCGGGAGCTCCGGAGGCGGCAAGCTGGATCCGGGGCTCATCATGGAGCAGGTGAAGGTGCAGATCGCCGTGGCTAACGCGCAGGAGCTGCTGCAGGTCTGGGGTCGGGCCGGGGCGGGTGCTGAGGGCGGTGGGGTCCGCTGGGGGCGGGTGTCGCGGCTGAGCTCGCGTGTCCCCACAGAGGATGACGGACAAGTGCTTCCGGAAGTGCATCGGGAAGCCGGGGGGCTCCCTGGACAACTCGGAACAGGTGAGACCGGCGGGGCCGCGGGGAGGCACCTGCGCGTGCGCGGCCCGGCGGGCGTTGCGGTGGGGCCCCTG